GGAACTGTACAGTTTTGAATGGCTGTGGTATTTTTTTAAGGTTACTCTCCACTGTACCTTTCATTGTGTTCAAGTCATAAATTAAGGTTGCACTGTTCTGTTGCATAGCAACAACTTGACCCACTTTTTACCATCAATTGCATTTATCTTAAAAACTAAGCCAGTGACCCCATATTTTTTTTATAAAAATCTTTTTATTACACACGGAAGAAGAAATAGGGAAAATTATAAAAAATTCTGTGGAGTAGATTTTGCTTTAATTAAAAAAATGGAAATTTGAAGATTGGAAAAATTCCACCCCCAGTGTTTTTTACAATTTCGCACATGCATTCCGCTTTTGCTGTTGAATAATTTCTTGCATTAGAAATGTAGGGTCGCCAGATCAGTTTTCAAGATACTAGCTTCGTGGATAAGGAATTTCTAATGTGTGTTGTACACACCAAATAAAATCTTGACTTTGCAAGATCGCACTTTGCGCACATGTGAAGGCAGTCCGCTGATCAGTAAACCCCGCAATTCCATGCGAATAAACATCAATACCTGTGAAAAGTGTTTCTCTTTTACTGTTTTTGTTAGCAGCATTAGCGGGAAGAAGAGGAGTACCATAAACACCCAAAGGTGAGGCTGGCTTGGTAAAGACAACAAAGAAAACTTGAAGAATAGTTTTTTTCCTGCTGTTTTTCAGATTGATAACCGGCACGATTGATCACAACAGCAACATCACAATTTTCGTTTATGTTCTAGCACAGCAGTTTAATAGAATTTTTTTTGATTTGAAATTGCCTGAGGGATGGAAGGTAAAGATAAGCGATATCGTTAACAGCTCACTAAACTTGGCAGAAACAAAGTTTTACGCAGAAGGCCTTGCACCGCCTTTTTGTTGTGAGTTTTCCAAACTTTAAAGTGCCACTAACCCCCCCCCCCCTCCAATTTTTTTCCTTTAATAAAATCTACTAGTTTCCCTGATTCCTTCAGTGAAAAAATTATCTCGATTCATTGATAAAATCCCTGTGTTCCTACAGGCGTTTGAACATGTAATTTCTATGTTCATGACCGCGTAAAGTGGGATCTGGGTCGGGCTGCTAGGCTGGGAACTGGGCTAAAACACTCAAAGAGACTTTTGACTGAGCTTTGAGGGCTGTCAAAACATTTTTGGGTTATTTGTGATTCATATTTTATCAAAACAGGACAAGATTGTTAAGTGAAAGAACTGTATCATCTAGCATTACAATTCGGAGTCTAGCTACGATTTGGACGGCTGGGATGTATATATTTTTTTCCATTTCGAAGTGCGGGTTGCCAGAGGAGATCGCTGCGTTGTAATTTAAGCTAGGATCAGGATCGACAATTTGCCGGTCCATTTGGGTTATAAAGGTACAAATAATGGCTGAAGAGTTAACTTACAGCTCTTAAAGAATTATAAAGATGTCAATAAACACGAAGAATAGGTAATTTGACAATAAGGAACGTGCAGATTTTGGAGTCAAAACATAAATTTCCCCCGAAATACAAGTTAAAATGCGATACAGTCATAGTCCAATCCTGCCTACTTCTCCAGATCAATGATTGAAAATAGTTTTAACATAAGAGATATAATATACAAATATACAAAGGTGTGGTAACTTTTCGCTTCATTATTGTCGACTGACTGTAGTATATGCATAGTCAATTACTGTGTACAAACAGAAGCTCACAAATTTGAATATTTCATACTAGTAAATCATGGAAAATCCTTTGACAAGATATTGAAAAGAGGTTCAGTATAGCATCAGTTAAGGTATCAGTATAACCCATTTGACTATCCACACGAGGTCCGCTCTAGTGTTCGTGGTTTTAACAAAAACCCATATAAACCGTATATTTATTTAATAACTATAGATTACGACCCAATCTGTTTTAAACGGTAAAAATTTACCATGTTTTGAAAATGTGAATATGTTTACAAAGCTTCACAAACCCATAAATCAAGGTATACGTCCGCTAAATTTAGGTCGGAGAAAACGATTAATGTGGCATCTGTTTCTTCACACACTGACCTCAAAAACTGTGTCTCAGATTTTTGGCACATGCATTTGTTATTTTCTTACAAGAGGATAAAGTTAGAAAAGGGAAAAACGTGGACCTGCCCGCGAAAAAAAGGCATAACTTTTTAATGAGAGGAATAATCAGAATTCACAGACAAGGTTTTGTCGGCGAACGTTCTGACAACATTATCTCCGAATTTCAGCCAATTTGGTCCAGGGGCTTCCGACTTGGAACTCGAAATGCACGTACAACTCGCCTATTTTTTACTTTTGAGAAACAGAGAAAAAATAAAATTGGGCGGCATCCAAGTGTTATGAGATTATCACACCAACGGAGACACCGCAGAGGAATCAACTTTCTATATAACAATAGGACTGTGACAGTTAACATGGAACAGGTGCAAATTTCCTGTGACAGCACGCGGTAAATTATTCTTCAGTGAATAAACTGCTTTTTCATGTGTGAAGTCAGAATTCCAAGGTTAGTAAACGTGAAATTGTCCTTCGATTTACTTTATTAGTGTTCAAAATTTTATGTATCGGTTGACTAATCTTCTTCCTTTCAACTTCGTCCACTTCTCTTCGTCAATTTCCTCTGCTTCAACAGTTTCTTGCAACAGTATTTTAGCGCAGCTTGCGCTCATTTTGGCTTGCTCGCTGGCTTCGTGATCGTGATTGTTGTCAAGTTCATCCAGCAATTTTTCTTGCTTGTAAAACCACCCTCTCTCGCTTTCGACTAATTTAGCGGCCCACTCTTTGTCGAAAGTGTTTTTTGGCCTCTTTGGCCATCCTTTAGCTGATGAACATGGGTAAGATCCCTTTTTCTTCTTCGAAGACTTCCGTGCACTGATTATGGCACGCGAATCGCATGTCAACTCAGCATGTTATTGATGTCATGTGACTTCTTCCCTTGATAATTAATTAATTTGACAGAACTTGTCAACTCTCAATTAAGTAATTAATATGCAAAAAAAACCTTTCTCGTGCTATAACTAGCGGCAGATATATTATTTTTTCGTGGAGTTTTTTTATCTTAAAGATAACCTTAAGATTTATCCAACCGCTTAAAAAAGTAAAATTATGCAAAATGGCAAATTTTCCCCTTACTGATACCTTAAATGAATACATTTCTATGATGCGTTTAATTTACCGTGTAATTTCCTCACCTATAGTTTCGACTGGGACTCAGAGTATCGTTTACCCTCGGAATAGTCAGATGGCTTCCAGCTTATCCCAAATTCATGTCTTATGCGGTATCTTGACGATGTCAAGCTTTCCACTGGAGATAGAGAAGAATATACAGGTCATGAAAATCTCTAGGTTTTTACAGTAGCGGCGAACCCAAGATCGAAGAAATCCTTGATGGCTCCACAGCTTTAGCCTGCTTTAGCTTCGCACAGATCAGCCCACTTCTTTGGTCTTTTTCTTATTTCTGGTCGAGTTTAATCGGAATAGAGGTATTGAAAGAAGAGGAATACTCTATCCTACGCATCCTGTATTGCTACAGCCTCCAACAACACATATTCCTTGCATTCTGCCACGATTTTGACACACACTATCGCATGTTCGCATATATTCTTCTCAGAAACAAAACAATGTTATTCCTGAAATCACGTCGGAAGCCAACTCATCCCATTCTCCACTATTCCTTGGTCGTGAACATGGAAAAGGGCAAATTTACAAACTTTGAAAATTCATACAAAATTGACGAAAATAGCTACAACGATAATTTTTTCGCATTGGTGATCAGGAGAAAAAGGAAATTTATATTAGCGAAACAAATTTTTGGGGTTAGTGGCACTTTAAATTTTGCAAGCTATCTTGCAACCCCTCAAATGACCGTGCAATGCCTTGCACTGAAGTGCACGTTAGAGCCCAGGATTCTCATGGAAATATTACCGTTTTGAGCCACCTAAAGAGTTATTAGAACAAGGATACTGTTTCTGTCAAGGGATCCAAGTTTCTAGGAAAGGAAATCATAAAAGGTAAAATGAAAGCGTACACGTATCAAAATTAAATAAATTTTCCAAGAATAGCAAACAGACCCGTGATTTTACACTGCATTTTTCCAACCTTTGACTCCTCAAATGTACACCGTAAAATTTTCAGAAGTGAGTAGACTCTTTGGGAAGCATGCAGTTTAGTTTTTGAACAGTTTTATAAACATTTTTCTGTAAAACTTTAAAGGTAGATAAAGTTGCTCGCGACTTGAGATACCAGTATAACGTCATATTTTGTCGCTGTTAACAAAAAAGAAAAAATATACTTGATTTTTTGTGTAAAAGTTATACACAGAAGCTTCAAAACTTCAGGAAAACTGCAGGTTTTGGACCGCAATCCTATACTGACTAGGAAATAGCCAACAGAAAGATGTCAAAACGCTTGCTCGTATTTAAACGCGGTTAATACTTACACATTGCTAAAATGAAACATATCCTCACATCTGAACGGTCTAAGGGTAGTCATCTTAGTGATAAACTCGACCACACTTCTTCACCTTCGCTCTGAAACCACAAAATATTCCAGGCGTTATATGCATTTCCGCTGTAGTACTGGTTACTAGTGCAAGAATTCCTACCTACCCCTCCCGAGAAAGTTAGCTTCATTTTTGCCTAAAATCGATCTAACTAGAACATTCGTTTGACATCAGATAAATCAACAAAAATTGGATGAGATAATATCTCTGTTATGCCAAACTGGTAAATTCTATCAGAAAATATTTTGTTGACGCATGATTTGAGATGGCTGTTTGTGAAGATCGATTTTTAATACAGGTTAATAAAAAAAATTATTTAACGCTTCAGTCAATAAAAAGGTGAACTTGTCTGTAGTTTGGATTTTTCGTTCCAGCAATGAATGCTGAATTGTTAGTTTATACAGTGATAAAAATAGCAAAAATGCAGCTGGGAAACCGAAAAAGAAAATATGGCGTGACATCATTTCCGCTGCAAATTGCGTTTATATTACAACAAACTTCGAACCTTAAAAGGCTGCCTAAGAACCTAAGCTGACCAAGAATTCCTTTGTTAAGGCACTCGTTAAATTCCGGGTTTCATTAATTTGAAGCAAGAACAATAACGGTACGTAGATTTTATGGGATTATACTGCTGTGAAGTATTGTCGAATTTCAGGGCGAGAGCTGTCAAGCGAAACACTTGACTGACTTCTGTCACGACTCGCCAGCTACGGATCGATTTTGTCTCAAGCTCGTTCAAGTGAATTTGCATATTCTCGAGGAAACCGCCGTGAACTTCGTTAACTTAGTACTGTGTGGACAAGATATATTGGCAAAGAAGTTTATTTTGCTATAGTGGCACGTGCGATGTGATGTATTAATATTGTCATAGGAATGAGGCTCTTATTATGAATACAAAATAACATGGCGGACTAATCTTGGGGGTGGGCTGCAGAGAGGTGTTTTACACGGTTTTAAGGCGATATCTCCCTGAATTGAAGGATTACAAGAAATTCAAGTTGTACTGGACGGAAATCATGTTTTACATCACGCCATGGATGACTGTGGGCCTTTTTTTGTGTACTGTCTACTTCGTTTTGATACTGCTTGGTTTTGGAAGAAAAGGCGACGAGACGAAAGTGAGTAAGAAATCCGAAGAGAAATTAGCATCATCGACCACAACTAGCAGCGATAAGAGCGACGGAAAACAATTGCAATTAGCTGATGAGAAGTTGGAAGTGATAAAGCGAGGAAAACAACTGCAAGGACTTAAATCGGACACGCAAAGGCCAATTCGGGAAGCCACATTATCATGCCAAATACAGACTACCAACGCCAGCAAGTCGTATGATGGTTTACAACTAGCACCTGCCGACAGCGATAAACAGAAAAAGTTAACAGGCGAACAAAGTTCTGCGCCTGTGAAAAGTAAAGACTTTTTGCGGAGTCATGATGCCTTGTATTTACAGGAGTTCAGTGTCTCGGATGACTTCATCACTGAAAGAGAAAGAATTCGAGGAAATAAGATTACTACCTCTCACGCAAACGATAATTTTTCGGAATGCCTTAACAGAAATTTTGAAAGATGTGACGATTTGAATTCATTAGATGTGAATCGGGTTGAATTATCAGATCATGTAACGCAGTCGTCGTCCACTACAGTTTATTCTGAGCCTGTGCACCAAAGATTTGATACCCCAGTTTCTCAGAATGAGCAACCAGTATTGCTGTGTGAACCTTGCATTGATGTTGTGGAATCTATTTCCTCTACAGACATAAAGCAGGATAGTTTAATTGAAGACTTTGTAGAATTCTTGGTTGCCAGAGCTAAGACACAGGCATTTAGGGATATTGACCTTGACCTAACAGCAAATGTTTATGCAGAGAAGGTTTCAGCTCAGATTGTCAGTGATGTCATAGGCCAATTTGCAGGTGATTCTGGCCAACAAGAAATCAGATCTGCAGAAGTCCAGGAGATACACAGTTTTGCCGGAAATGTTGTTAATTCTTTGTTCCAAGGTGCTACGGGAAAGATGTCTTTGGTCAAGGATGTTGAAACTTTTGCTAAAGACATGAGCGAACAAGTTATAAATGAAAGTATAGAATATTATGCTGCAAAAGAAAAGTTGGAACAAGGAAGAAAGAAAAAAGTGTCTCTTCATGAGATGAGAATTTTCAGTGAAGGTATCATTAGTGAAGTTTTGTGTGATGGAATTGAGGAGGCAGCGATAGTACAGGATGACTCCAAAGAAGATTTCATTCATGATCAAAACTTACCCACAGAAGAGCAAAAAATAGAGGATTCTATTCCAGAGGGTGCTAACAGTTTAAAAAATCAAGTTTGCCAGACATCATATCAGGAATCAATCCTGTCAAGCACGTTACAACCCCATATCAGTGGTGTGGTAGAAAACTTGGTAAATGGTGCAATTTATGAAGCTGCATTGAGAGTGAAAGCACAAAGAAGTGAATCAGGTTTAGAGGACTCAGAGCTAGAAAGCTGTGCCCAAGAAATTTTGGAATCCCAGGTTGACGAGACAGTTAAGGCATTAATTGTTTCAGCTTTGAGCAAAGCTGCTGATCATGAAGGACAGGAAAAAGAAGCAGAACCATCATACGCAAATAAAAGTCAGGTTGAATCCTGTTTAGAGTCTTATGTAGTTGATGCTATGGGTGACCGAGTGAGTGAGGCAGTTGTTAACGTAATAGAGGAACAAACTGTGCCCAGTGAGGAACAAAAAGTAGTGAATGGTAAGATTGATCTCGCTCAAGAGCCGTTCATGGAAGAGAGCTGTCAAAGTACCCCTGAGATTGTTGTCGTGAAAGAAAATGACACTGATGTGACAGATCAATGTGAGGGATTTGATGTTGTGCCATCTAAAGAGAAGGACAAATTAAAAGAAAAGAAAACTGGTGAAAGGGGTGAAAGTGGTGATTATTGGAGACGTAGTTTGATTCTGGATTTGGAAGGGGAAGAAGAATTTGATGAGAGTGTTGAAAGTGAAAAGTCACCTTCATCAACCAAAGATGAAGATCTGATTTCTGATGAGGAAAGTGAAGAATTTATAGATTCATCAGAGGATGAGGTTATTGATCATGCAGAGGATGCTAAAATGGGTGCAGTTGGTGGATCAAGTGTTCAAAAGTATGAGAGTGATGATGATGACAAGATGGATTTTGAGGATGAGTTAGATGATGATGATGATGATGATGATGATGACTATGATGGCGATGATATGTTTGTATCACAGTCAATGGTGGATGGATTGTGCGTGAGTAAACCTAAAGAAAAGAGGAAAAAGAAGAAACACAAAACTGCTCCAAGAGCAAGAATACAATCAGGTTAGTAAATCATCAATTGAATAATAAAGTGTTAAACAATCATCAGATAAGGTTGAGCATGCATGATAGCAGTAATTTTCAGGTTTTTGCCTCAGAGCAGAAGTCCACAGTGTAAGTCTTGCTCAATTTGTCATGCAAAACTGAGTCCCATGATTGTCTCATAACACATTTGAAACGTTACTTCCAGTAATTCATCATTTTGAGCTTAAAATTTGCAGTGTTTTTGAAGCTTTTTGCTTCACAGCTTGCAAAATTGTTTAATTCACACAATTCAGGCAGTTGCCTACAAATTACAATTAACTATTGAAAATAATTTAATGTCCTTTCTCTGTAGAATATTGATACGGTTGTAAACAGAAAGGTGGCAAGCATACTTGGAGAAAGACAAACTAGGCGATATCATGTTCTTCTAATCAAAGTTTATCAGAATTGCCCTTGGTTGCATCTAAATAAGCTTGGATGTGTGATGAAACACATGATATATTGGGTGATTGCCCTTCAAATTCCTTGCTATATGTGTGAATGTACATATGCACCTAATTGTGCAGTTAAGTTTGATGGAACCACAGATATTGTTTGCATTTGTGTGACAATGGAAGAAGTTGCACAACTGGTGGCAAATAAAGTTATAGTCCAAAATATAAGATTACAAGGTGCACTTAGTTGTTTTATCTTATAGGCCGAAACCTTTTCTGAAATAAGGCATTTGCAAAACTTAAACTTCAATTTCAGATTAACTAGCAGAGCTGACATTAAGGACGTTAGCGCTAAAATTTTCCAGTCGATAGATTTTTTAAAAATTTTTACTGCAGTCAGATAGTGAGTTACTTGTGTCAGAAATGCAAAAAAAAATTGGGGGTCACCAACTTTGTTTCAGAGATAAAGTGTGTGGAAAACTACCCTGATTTTGAAAAATTGATGCACGTAATTCGGCATGGTCTACAGGGGTTTATAGTTAAAGAAATCGAAGGTGAGTCAATGGAGGCAAACGATCGTAGTCATATTTTGTAGAAGTGGGTCTGTTGCATAAACAATTACAAATGTTGCCAACATTTTCACAAAACTTAACCCTCTAAGAGGCATTTGAAACCGCCGCGCAGATGAACGGAGAGCTAAAAACAACGGAATTCGATGGTGCGTTGTTCAAAAAATTCAAACGTGGCGTGTGAATTTGCATATGCAGTAAGGATGCACAGAAACAATTAGCGCAAACGTCCTTATCAGCCTTGATGTTACCGGTGAACTTGTCAACAATTGTGGTATTTATTGGAAGTGGCTTACTGGTTCTGAGTAAGATCGAGACAGTGATGTTGATCCAGGCAAAATTGATGTTGACAATTTTAACTTATTTTTCATAGTTACTCCTATTGGTTTTGGATGAAGAAGGGTCTTTACACTTAATTCAAAAATGTTTCCTTATGAGGTTTATTACTCACTTCCCCTGGATTAGCACTGCCCACACTATGTGCATGAAGCGAACAGGAGTTCTGTTAAGCATAAAATGGATCTTTGTGATTAAATTATTGACATGTTTACTTGTAGCTGGTTCCCACTTTAATAATGCAGTGGTATTAGACAATGGTTGTGGCACCATAAAACTAGGCTTTGCAGGGCACAAGAAGCCCAGCATCATACAGCCAACATTATATGGGATCCCCAAACGATACTCATTACAAATGGCTGGTATGGACAACAAAAAGGACAGGGAATACGGGGACACTGCTGCAACGAAGGCTGGAGTTATGCAGCTAGGTAAGTGAGGAATGTCAGTTAGAGTTTGGTTATACACATTCAACTTACTATACATTAAGGACCAAGTGATTAATGAAGTCTGCAGAAGTTAAGCTTAGTAGGGGTAAGTTTGAGAAGTCTGATCAGGTTTCTGCAGGCATGGAAGACACATATTCATGTATAAGACAGGTTGTTTGTGTCAACTGCAGTGGCTTGAAAAATCCATTCATCCTTATAAATAAATCCACATTTGCAAGTGAGGTGATTTCCTATTGAATTAGGTGTTGTTTAATGGTGATTGTAACAATTGTGTGTTGTTGTTGTTGTTGTTGTTAGAGTATCCTATGAAGGCTGGACTGATTGAAAACTGGTCTGATGTGGAGGACATCTGGGAGTACATGCTATTCAATGAGTTAGGAATAGAAGAGGGAAACCACCCAATCTTAATCACAGAAGTTGCCAACACACCAAGGAAGAACAGAGAGAAAATAGCTGAGGTGAGACTAGCTTCTGTCATCGTACAGTTGCTTCCCCACACCAAAAGTTATTAATACTCCTAATTTACATGTTCACCGCATTATTTTTAGTAACAATGCAACTTCATTTTAGGAAGCTCAGCGTCATTTGACCCTTGACAAGATGTTTCCTTGAATCTTTATTATTTTTAGGAAATGCAAAAACTCACTGAACTATGGCATCAACGTAACCAAATAACTTCCTTTTTTCGGTCTGTTTTCAATCTCTTAACATATTAGGCATCATGATTTTTTGTTTATTTTGTATAATGGTCTTGAAATATGAGCCAAATTACATACGGTATATTATGTTATTGAAATAAAATGACATTAGTTCATTTTTAGGGCTGTCACCAAACGTGAAATGAAAAAAGTAGCTGGGGATAAGGTCTCGTCAAAATCTACTAGACATATATATGCTGTGGCTAATCTGCAATGGAATAGCAACCCATCAGGGCGGAGTTGGGGGGGAGGAGGAGTAGCAACACTCTTAGTTCCATTTGCTGTAGAAATTGGGATAAGCTCTGCCAGCATTGACCTGAGCATTCCAAGTGTGGGTTTTTCAGCTCATGTTCAGTCCATAACTAGCTGTGAACTTGACCTTGTCTTCTTGGATTCCAGATTTTGTTTGAACACCTTGGTGCCCCTGCAATGTATCTTGCAAATCAACTTGCACTGTCATTGTATGCGTCTGGCTTGACTGTGGGCATATGTCTGTCCTCTGGGTTCTCTGTCACTCAAGCTGCCACAATTTACGAGGGACATTTATTAGCCCATACAGTCCAGGAACTTGACATTGGTGGTCGGTCACTCACAGATAATCTACAAAAACTGCTCAGGGACAACAAAGGTCAGAACTTCAACTCCTCATCTGGCTGGCAGATTGTGAATAATATGAAAGAAACTATGGCATATGTAGCACAAGGTAATATTATTGGAATTGTTCATCTTCGTTATCCAACTGCAGCGAATACCGTCCAAACAACATGCAATACGAGTACAAAATAATATACAGCGATATTGTATAGTAGTTAGTTATTTGTACAGTAGAAAACCTGTTTAACAGGTCGGCATGCACATGCAAAATTGTCACACTCTCCCTCATTGACTGATAGATTTATTGACTACAGCAGTTGGATAATAAATCTCTTATTATATGTTTTGATATGTAGTATCTCTGTACATTTATACTCATTGTTCGTATTGTGACTTGTCCTACGGGCTCGTCAAAATACAGAACAACTCATAAAAATACACAGCAATACTACATATCAAAACATCTAGTAAGATGTATTTACTTGTGTTCTTGTCTTTAATAATATGAAATATAGAAACCGAAAGCAAATGATTAATTTTTGAACTTGCACTGTTGTTTACATGTAACCTCTGATTAGTGGGAGAGTGGGCAACATTGGACCTTTTTGGTGATACAACAGCCATTCTGAATACTGTTGTTTCAAATATCTATTATGGGATGCTTAGGGAACAATTTCATACTAATTTGCCCCCTGAACATCCCATAATAGCTATTTAAAACAATATAATTCAAAATGGCTGCCATATCCCTGAAAAGGACCATTGTTTAATTGTTGCCTGTCGGGAGACATTATATTTAGCTATTGCCTCGTGACCATGAATCAACCACTAAGATCTAAAATCCAGTTCAGTTTATTGCAAAGTATTTAGTCTACGGCCCTGGTTAGATCATCCTCAAATACTAGAAGATCTTACTGGTAAATGATCCTGGCAAAGATCTCAATGATCTTTGCTAAGATCTTTGTAAGATCCTCATCATTATGTGAGATCTTCCTAAAATCTTTGAACGATCCTTTTCACTTAGGACATTTGATGAGTCTTTGAGAGATCCTGTAAGGCTTTTCATTGGCAGTGCTTTAGCAGTTTGATTGTTCAAATGTTGTTGTTGATAGTAGTCAATGTGCTTAGCTACACCTAGCTAGTTCACAGGCATGCCACTTAAACTGAAAGAAACAAATATATCACCTAAACATAATAGGCTTAAAAATCCCAACTGGCAGGAGGCAGACCAGTTGCCTATTTATATGTACAAGCATGACTGAGGTCTACTGAGAAACAACTCCAGCTAAGTGGTCAGAGCAGAATTCAACCCACAACCTCTGGATTTCAAGTCCAGCGCCCTAACCACTAGGCCACACTGCCACATGTTGTTTTGAAACATTTCTGAGGGAGATACATATAGCCCAGAAGTAAGCTGCAGTTTTATTAATGTTTACAGATTATTCTTCTGAGCTGAAGCAGTTCAAGACCAATGCTGCTCTGACTCAGTTCTACAGCTTGCCTGATGGCCAGACTGTAGACATAAGCAGTGAGATGATCAGTACTGCAGAACCTTTGTTTAATCCTGAAACTCTTCTCGGTGCAGATGACACTGTTGCCTCGCAGCTTCCCATGCACAAGTTGGTGAACAGTGCATTCAGAAGGTTAGATTCTGTACTTTTCAGTTTTAGTTACTTTGTTATGTTCTGTTCATATCATGTCATGTTATGTTGTTCATAAAGAAAAACATGCAGAGACTAGACATTTAGTCAATGAGGAGCGAAACCTAGAAACATATTTGATGAGCCAATAGGACATTTCCCAGTTACCTTGTGCCTCTGTTTCAAAACGAATCCTCGTGCAAAACCTTTCATATGAAAATGAATTTGATTTGCATGAAAATGAACCTGTAGGCGGAAAGAATTTTCATATGAATGGTTTCACACGAAGACGCGTTTTGACACAGAGGCAAAAGACAACTGATAAATGGCCTGTTAGATCTCAGCCCAAACTCGTGACCGGTGCCAAACGCGGGAAAACAGAAGTGATCTAAATTGTGGTTGGATTTGATTGGCTGGAAAATCATTTTTATTCATCGTCATTCGGATTGGTGGGAACGTACTGCGTAAATCAAAATAAGCGCCACATATGTTAACTCGGTGAAAACTATACAAAGTTCTCTTTTGTTTTAAGCTGCGTTGAGGCATGGTAACCATTCAATTTCTTTCTATTCAGGTGTTCGCCAGAGTTACAGGACACCATTCACCGAAATGTCGTGCTTTCTGGTGGAACGACCCTCATGAAGGGACTGCTACCGAGGCTACAACACGAACTCGGCAAAATCAACCCAAAGATACGAACAGTGCGTGCGCCTGACAATAGAAGGTATTCCGCGTGGATTGGGGGCTCAATACTGGGATCTCTGTCCACTATTGACAGTATGTACGTCACGATTGACGAATACGCAGACTACGGGGGTCGAATAGTCAATCAAAAGTGTTTCTGATGTCCTGCTGCCCTGCACATGCAGCAAAGTGATGCATACACAGCCTATACATGACACGTTTAAAATGACGATGGGTCTCATTTAATCAAGGTATTAGTGAATTTTACCAAACTAGAAATATACTGTACACTGCTGACCAAACACATCATTGTCGTCGTTGGCGCAAAGTCATCAAGTTGATCGACCCATTTTGTAGACTAATTTACTCGTTAATCTCACTCCCGTTTCTGAATGACTTGAATGAGAAAGTCGGGAAAAAATTCAAGCAAGATCTGTTGTTAAATCTTTTAACGCCAATGTTACAACATCAAGTAAATACAAATGTCGAAAATTTGCACAAATTTAGGATTAAGTCTAATTGTTTACTACATTTATTACAAGCGTTTATAAAATGTAAGAATTTAACCGAACTTCCAACTATCCTTCCTCTAAGTACTTGAATCTGGCACCCTGCGGAGTGAAGGTATTCCCAGAATACTATCACTCAAGCAGACAATATATACAGTTAAACCGCTTTAAAAATTACAGTACGACATTGGGAAAGTAAAATATCAAATTTTTATTACCAATTTATTAACAAATTATTTACCGGAACGAAAATAAACTCACATTAAATTGAATTTATAATAATTATAATGGTTACTGTCTAAGCCACCTGGATTGGGGGCTACGAAAGTGTTTTTCTATTTCCGAGACTGCGCTGACCATAGCACAGGTCTTGCACAACATTGATTAGCGACCGGGGTATTAGAAAATCATTGTTAGATGCATTTGAAATTGAAGAAGGAGTTAAATATCTTAAAGCGTCATCTTCTAACCAAAATTTGTTTCGCCCATATTGGCCGAGTGGTCTGTAGGATCAACCAGATCAAATCGATTTAGAATCCTACGACCGTGTCATAATATTATGAACGGTCTTTGCATATGTTGGTTAAGGCAAATTTTATAGCACCAATTTTTCCCCGCCNCCCCCCCCGCCCCGAAGAGTAAAAAGAAGAAGAAGAAGTAATAAGCGTAAAATCGTTGAAACGCTGATGGTGGCGCATCCACAAACGTTTAATTTTCAGATGTGGTTTATAAAATTCCTAGAGTAGGCCAATGCTTGTAGATATAAAATGTTTTAATTTTTGTAACAAAATTGTATGCATGCTCAAAGAATCAAACTATTTCTAGTGCTACAAGGTTATTAATTTTCCATGTATTTAAGTGAATTTGATGATGCGATCACAAGCAGTCCTATTAGGCTTCTAGTCAGGGCTCGTTTACACGTAAGGCACAATCAGAGTAATGTGTTCTTTGTCAAGACCACTATTCAATATTCAAGGGTGACATTTTTGTAGCCTACTACGCAGACGCTCTTTGGGCTCGTCACGCAACGAGGGGGAGGAAGATTGCGTGACGAACCCAAAGGATGTCTGCGTAGGGGGCTAAAATTTTTGTAGCTCGAGCACAAAAAAGAGGCGCTAATGCTGATGAACCAAACATTGTCAACAAAGATTTCCCCTACTGGATGACAGTTTGACTTAAATGGAATTCTCGTTCAATATGTTCCAGCAGCATCTCTGGTATGTGTTAACAAGTCAGTCAAGCACATCTTGCATTCTAACCTAACAATGTTAAATGATGTTGGATCAGCACGGTGGTCAGTCACCAGATCAATCGCACAAGATATTGAAATTAGCTAGCTGTTTATCAAGTGGAAGTTGCGTTTTGAGCGTCAGTCCTTAGTCAGAATAAAGACGGAAGTCTCACGCTCGAAACATCAGCGTGACATTCTCTCTACAGCGGGTAATTATCAATTTGATAAACAGCTTATTGTTTCACCTGTCTGCCGACGCAGCCCTTATAACTACCAAGAGGTCTACCAATAACTGCTAATTAGCTACCTCTTTTTTGTATTGTTTATTTCAAAGCAGCCACGTTCGTTGTAATACTAGAAATACTACTTCAAAATTGGTTAAATAAATACAGCAGTTGTAACGTTACGATCAGTTGTATAGTGATGCCAGGTAATCATAGAAATTTAGAAATTTTATTTACATCAAGTTTTTTTGCGGCTGAAACCTCAATTGTAAAATTAAATTTAATTTTAAAATGGGCAAGGTGAAGAGAATTTTGTAATGTTACAACCAATTGTATAGCTATTGTAGTTAATTACGGAAATTAAAGTTATCTGAACTGTTTTTGTGTCTGTTTATAATGGCTAAAACCTTCTTAGCAACTACTTTGTCAGTGAGTTTATTTTGCTGTGATTGGTTCAACAAAACACCCGTCACCAATCAGAGCGAACTAATCAATCAGCACTTAGGGACACACAAAACAAATCGTGACGTGAATCGCAGGGAGAGTGATAGGAATTCTACTTTTTTTTTTCGTTGGAATAAACCTCGGCGGTCTAGGCCAATGACCTGAGTGTGCTTAGTGCAAATATTCTCTTTCAATTTGTAAATATAACTGCAGGGCAAATTTAACTTGATGAGCCTGGGAAAATTTGTTTCAAAAAGCCGTGATATGAATGGAAAATATTTTACTTAGGACAGTTACTATTGATCCATGATGGATGTAATGAAATTTTTGGACAAGCAGTTTTCCACTATTTTTCACAGAGGCTTATCACTTTATATTACCAGTTCCGGGAAGAACTGCACGTCCCAGTTCCATAAAACGTGCATTTTTCAAAACCCAGTTTCCATCGACTTTTAACTGTGTACAGACAGATGGCTCTTCAACTGCCGTCGATCATCGTTTCGAAGGGAGCCAAGTATTATTGGCGGGTGACAATTAACTTTCTTCTTGGTTGCAATCGGAACTTCGATGAAATTTCTTGAAACGGTAACCTCCTCCGAAGCATTTGTGAATTTTGCATGTCCTATTTTCATAGAAAACGCTTCCTGGTTACGGGAAAGTCGGCCGAGAATTAATTGATTGAAATTATGTGGGCTTGTGTTTCTATGGCTGTTTCTAGCTCTCCCAGCCAGAGTTTCCCGGCAAATGTTTCTTTAAGGAGAAAGAAAAATGTTTCAAACTTCCCTTTTCCCGAATAAACCCTAAGCAAGGGATTTATTAGAGGACTATCTCTACAACACAATATTTAGCATTGATTTAGCAAATTTGAAAATAGATTAAACGTATATTGGCTGTTGAACAATAGCTTATCTGGCGGTTCGTCTTTCACACTAACAAAATAATACTGACTGAGCAGCGAGGCTGATGGGGAAACTAAAGGCCAACCTGAATATTTAGCGTTCGTCTTGCCAGGTCCTCGCATTGAAAAGGAGAGTGGCTAGTTATTCAGGTTAGTTGAGGGACTCTCAGTGATGAACCCAAACAGGAAGAGGTGATAGTAAGATAAAGGAAGAACTTTGAGTGAACCGGATACAAAAATTAAAATACATGGGCTTGCCCCGCGGATGTTGATGTTCATTGAAAAAACAAAAAACTGGCTAAAATGTCCTTCCTTCACGCATGTTTGACCCTGAAACTACGGGGAAACAAAAATCTTACTCGAGGGGAATACTGTTTTTAGAGTTTTAAATTTAATGCGTAAGGGGAACTGCTGATGAAATAAACGTTCAAGTAACTAATCCACAAAATAATCTCATTCTCTCAGGAATTTCAGTTATAGATTCACAGTGACGAGACGCGCCCATGGATCAACTCGGGTTTTGTTTTTGTTTACACTGTTTGAAAACACAGCGAGCTTAAGCGTTCACGTTCCTAAAGAAGAAACTCGTTCAGAAAATAACTGTTCCTAAACAACAAGTTGGTTTCGTTCGAGGAAATCAAACAGATAGAGTGGAGGGGGAGTTTAATTCGTGCCTGATGAAGCGAAAAATAAAACTACTGCTTCAGTAAAAGCTGACCACATGAGCTTCAATTCCAACTCATCTCCGGAGCAATTCAGGAAGTTTCTAAAGTTGCACGCAGAAATTCTACCTATGTGTCTTGTTGTTACTGTTGTTACAGTTAATACTTTTGGATAGAGAAGAGCTGAACAGACTTTTTCTAAGTAAATCATTTTTTCCCTTAGAAAAGAGGAATGCCGGAATCCTCAAGCCATGCAGGTTGATTTAAATATGGTATAAATTTATACCACTTCTTTAACAAAGCTACAGTTAAAGCTAAAATTAGAAGAAAACTTGAGATTTTGCAATTAAGTTAACTGATCTTCCGGGCTGACCTTTAATGTTAGATGGCACCCTGTTGGATTCTTTTCGCCGGTTACTTGTCTACCACCCGGTCACAACTCTCATTAGTCCTTCACGATCAAAGAAATTATAGATCAAAGGTAATTAATTGACAAATTGGATCGAGGGGGTCGATTTGATAGGTTTAGTAGGAGGCAGTTTGCGGTTAAGTTATGATTTATTTATGAACAAAAAATCGAGGTTACCTGTTGTTGCAAAAGGAGAGTAAAACTTTGCTTTGAATATTTCGGCCGAACTCGGTCCATCGTCAGTTTGTCCAATTTTTACTGTTTTATTCAACAAAACACCCGAAAAAATCAAGGCTCCTCTCTCCGTTTTAATTAACAGTAGTTTGTCTCTGGAAAAGCTGAAATTCTGCTTGCTTTTCCTAGCAGTTCTTTTACGGTGTCTCATTTTCATGCATACGTCATTTCTTCACCAGTCTCACAGAAACAAATAAATTCAATATGGCGGCCGCCAGACGTTCAGAATCAAGAAAGCTCCAAAAAGACAGGGAAGGCGTCCAGTTCAGCTCTCAATTCATACAGGTTGTGTATGCTGTTCTTGTCATTTCGCCTAGCGGATTTAATAGTGGATATCATTCACATAGCGCTCTTTAAATCTAAGTCATTGTCACTGATCGTCTGACTGTGAATGATCTTGACTACAGCTTAACAGTTAAAGAGAAACAGACTAAAAAAACTTAGTCTTTTCGTTGCTTCGTGTCGAGACATGGTGAAGATATATACTCCGGATAAACTGAGTTAGTTACCTGTGTTACAATACGTTGACGTAGATGGAATTAGATGGGGAAATGGACACGAATTTTAAACATTGTATTCGCGGCATGAGCCGGTCAGCCGGCGTTAATTTATACTCAGTTGCATGCTGAATTTTAAACCTCATTTAAATCTGCATGCTATTGTATTTCGACTGTTAAAAGAAAGCCTTACATTTTCGTTTGGTCACTTGCTAGATAACGGGATCATCCTTCTAGCTCAATTGTGTTTGATTTTAAATTCTAGCATCAAATAATGTGATAATTTCGATTTCGAGTTTCTTTCTTCCATTGACTCTCTTGATCTTCTGTCACGTTTCACATCTTTCCCCCTGCCCATGCGGCACTCAGCAATATCCCCGAGACAGTTTTAAATTTTGTTAGCAGTTGCTTTAGCAGTTCTGTAAAAAGTAGATGAATAACTGTTGTCACGCTTAGTTTAACAGTCCCAACGAAACCAAAATCACCAGCGGGTTCTTTCCCGTGTAGAGACCGATATCAGCATCCGTTAGAGCCCGCACTGAATAACCGATCTCTGTCATATTAGCTTTCGCATTTCTAGTAGATAATCGGCTAATTGCTGATGTAATGTTGTCTAAAATCTGTAAGAAAACCAAGAAACGGTATATACTTCGTTATTCACATTAGCGAACTCGCGTTTTTGCTGCCTGGTCGCAATGATTTGATGATCAGATGCACGTGCAACTGAATGAAGGCACATCGCAAAAATTTCCTCCCTTCATTAGTATTAAAGCCAAGTTATAAGCAAGCAAGTAACATACTGATAAGTTAAGAAAGCAAAACTAAATCCTTGTTGGTTTCACTAGCTAGCTCAATTAACCACGAAAATCTCTAGTGCCCTCACTTCGTCATGAGAACAGCCGGAGAAAAACACGGCGCACACTGAGTGTATGCAGTTCAAACGGTTGAAGCTTCAATCGACCCTCACGATCGGCTCTTCAACCATCATCGCGCATGCAGCGAATTTTGTGGCGCTCAGCCTTCATCCGGTTCACTTACGTCAGTAAGTAAAACGATAGACGCTGAACATTGCAATTCTGCTGATAAAGAACGGAACAAAAAGCTTTAATGACTTTAATCTTCCTTCTTAACTGAGTCGCTTGGTCGGCGCAGGATGACTTTCAAGTTTTTGACGTTTCTATTTCTTGCTCGTCGCTTCACAACTCGTTTTCGTCGCCTCGCGGCTCATATTTAACTGAGAAATATAAAAGAGGCAACTTCTAGAACAGCCAGGGTAGTTTCTTGCTATTCAGCTATAAGATTGTAGCCTCGGAACTCGGTCGGTAAAGCTTTAACTTCGTACTGAACTGTGACTCTATCAGTCCACTGTCGAGATTTTAGCCTAAGAACGACTAGTTTTAATCGATATTCTCCGTAACTCTGACGGTAGGCTCTAATTAGCTAAGAAAGACTGACTTCGTATTAGCCACGTCGTAGCCCTGTCGGCAGAACAACAAGTTTAAACGTGTGGCTTCGTAGCTCCGTCGGGCGGTAGACAACGATTGTCTTTGGTCCGGCTATTTAATCTTCGTACTGACTTGGCAGTATCTTCATAGTTATCCTCGCCTTTTTTCCTCTTGCCCTTCTTCGTGGTGCTCCCCAAATAACAGAATTCCCGGAACACGCTACTGTTTGTTCGGACTGTTAGCTCGGCTACTTTTAATCTATCAACGTAACTCGATGGACGAACGAGCGTCTTATGATCTATACGTCGATATCAGTACCGCGCAGCTAAATTCAGTGGGGGTTACATAACTTATGATTGTTCGAAGCCGACTGGCTCTGATGCCAATCGGTAGAGAACGACTTGATTTTAAACCATGTTCGTAGATGCTCGTAACTCAAACGCTAAGAGAACAACTGGTTGTGAACTTACTTCGTAGATTGAGCTTGTTGGTGGAGAGTGGTCGGTAAGGTGTCGTAGCTGAGTCAACCGGTATGGAACCGCTGTCGACATACAAAGTTTTAGCGGGTTTTTCACGATTCCCCTAAAGAGATTTGTCCGAGTTCTTGTAATTAAGGAAATATTCTCGCAAAAGAAAAAATACTCAAAAATTCACTTTACTCTGGGGGAAGGAATTAAGCGACAGTAACAAGTGGGACTGGATACAGAGCCCTACTTTGACCTACTTTGAGACGAGCAGCCGGATTCGGCCATCAGTGTTTAAGTATCCAACAAGCAAGAAAAGTGTTATTTCTACTATATTCACCAGAGGAATCAGCTACAGCAAAGCAACAAGCTTTTGAAATAACGTAACAGATGAACTTGTTTTTCTAATTTCAAGTTACGTTGTTTTACATTTATTTTGATTGCACTGTACATTGGAGTTTCCGTCCTGCGGAAAATCGCAAAATGTCAGTTCGTTTCGCTCAGTCTTCCCAAATAGGAAAAGCCAGTTAGATCTTGCACAACACAACTGAACAACTAGCCAACTCTAAAAATTAAACGGCTTCCTGAATTTTCTTTTTACCACAAGGTATCTATGTGATAGCATACCTTCTTTTCAGCATTTTATTTCGGGCAATATTCCCAAATTACCCATACAGCTCACAAGCTACTGAACATGTAATTTCTCAATTTAGCGCAGGGCTACATCAGATTTTTAATTTATACAAACTGAAACATGACTCAGTGATGAATGAAACAAGCACTAAATATAACTTGTTTATAGGCCATAAACACAAGATCGACGGAGGAACTCATACTCTCTAACTTGAAAGGAACTTGGATGGTTAATAACTGACCTTTCCAATTATCTTTGCTCCATAACGTATACTAATGATAACCCGATAGGGGAATACGTATATGTTACTTATAACACTGCAGTTATAACACAACCCCGAGGGAGATCGATAACGTGGTTATTTTAAGTTCGAGACAACAGCTATAAATAACTTCTCTTCAAAGAAAAGTTGTTTCGCATGGAGTGACAAAGGGTGCTATCCCCTTCAATTAAGTACCGGCTATATACACTTTAAGTGTTAAAACAGCCTTAAAAGTAAATTAACAAACTTCCTTTAGTCCATCATAACGCGATATTGGTCTAGAACGAGCTATATTTAGCTACACTTGATGTGGACTCAAGGAACTAACAAACTGACAGAGTTGAGTCAGCATTGGTGGCTATTTTTGTCAATATCAGACAGTATAAATTTCGTCGGTTTACGCGGCACATGAACAAATGCACACAAGCTCTCAAAACAGTTCAAAAGTGGAAGTTTTGTTGACTGTATATAAAGGAACCGATTTGCTGGCGAGAATTTTCGGTAATCAACTGTAATCAAGTGCTGGCGCACAAGGATTGGAAAAAACGCGCAGCTTCTGCGGTGAGAAATGACGTGTTGTTTTTTTATTGCTAATGTCAGTATCACATGATCTTGTCGGAAAGTCTCAATGGTCGCTGAAATAATTATATCAGCACAATTTGCCGTACTGATCATCTGTGTGAACAGAGAAACGGGAATAACTGATCTACTAGGAGAAGTTAAGGTAAGTTTGTCTGCGAAATTTCGGGAAAATCGGTGAAAACCTTTCCGTTTCGATTTCACGAGAAACTAGAGACTGAAAGCGGGGTATCATGTATGCAAATTGTTTTGATTTTGTTTTGAAAACCAGAATAAACTTGCCGCGCAGGTCTTAACTTATGCCCCGCACATGTGGCATATAGAGAACTTTTCACAAAGGTTTCTTGCATGCTGGCCTCTGCTTTGACAGAAGTGAGTATTGCTCGTCGTCCCTGGGTGATGTGGCTTGCTTGTTTGGTAAGCGAAAGCCTTTGTTTTAGTTCCTTAATTACTGACTACACGGGCACTAACTCCGATAAACGGAATATTTAATGCATAAACTCGCAAACTGATTTTAATAGCTGTTTACAGTTCGTCCATTGTGTTACACAATTTTGTTCAGTCGTAACCCCGATCTCGAATGTCTCGTTAAAAACATAATCTCAAACCTTGATGAAGTGACATTCTAGAGTCTTAATATCGGCGTATATGATACTGAACAAATTCTCAAGCTAGACTTGTAAAGAATAAATTCCTAGGCTTCAAACAGGAAAATCATTTAGATGGAAATTCATGTGAATAGGCCTGGTATGGGCCGAACTCACTGTTCCAAGCAGACTGCCCAACTTTGTTCTTGTTTTAGAACTTACATTTGAAAAATTTTGGAAAAACAGAAATTATTTCAAATCTCTACAAAGAGTATAGTAGTTACAATCTTTTACTATTTTCAGAGGCAAAATAACTCGAATTTAACTGAAACATTTTGTTTGGCTGCTCGTTTTATGTGATATACGTGTTCAACGGATTTAATACGGTCGTTAATGATGGTCTAAAGATACTAGTCTGTAATAAAGAGATACGATGTTCGTATCGTAACTCAGAAACCAGCCAGCTTCCAAAAAAACACCGAATCGACTGTCTAGAATTTTCCAATACTGATTTCCAGGAACTCGGCTCTCGTATCGAAACTTGACACTACAGAAGTTATTAGAGAGCTGTTCAAGATTAAGGTGACACCCGTATAACTGAGATTTGTATACACTACGGAAACTTTCGCGGAAAATTTTTAAGTAACTCAAATTTCACTCAGATTTTTTTCGCCAATCTTAAGGGTATATCGCGATATCAAGAAATTGGCGTTATTTTTTTTAAGCTACGTGCATAACAAATTGTTACGCACGGTCACCGAAAACTTCTAACAATCAAATCAACATACTTATGCATGTGTTTGTTGACAAACTGTGAGAATACCTTCTCGAGAAAATAGACTTACTGATTAGTTATGGATTTCAGTTTCCAAGCCGTATATGTTGAATTTGGACCAATTTGTACAAAATATGATTCACTTGAATGTTGACGAGCCATGTTTTGCTATGACAAATGGAAGTCTCGGTTGAATCAGCCAAAAGACACATATCTTTCGTAAATACAAAGCACTACAAAGGAACACGCTAAACACATGACCTGCTACAAAGAATTCACTTTGGTCCAGCCGTGAAAACTACAAAGCAAATCCGTTTCAGAGCCATGACGACGAGACAGAGAGATAGTACAAAGATGTGTGTGTGAACTTGCTCGTTATACGTGTAATATTATGAAGGACACACACGGAGTAAAAC